TTAAAAGGACTTGGTTGTCGTCATTTATTTACTGCTCCCCGTCATCCACAGTCTAATGGACTTGCTGAAAATTTTGTTCGAACTTTGAAATCTGCCATCAATTCTATGTCCCCTGTTACCTTCCATGATCTTGATCGAGGTATTGATAATTTCTTGATGCAGTACAGGAATGCTGCTCATTAAATTACTGGTAAGAGTCCAGCAGAGCTATTCAAATCGAGATCCTTACGCACGAAGCTGGAATGCATTGGGACTGCCGACGTAACGTTTTTCAAAGGTAACGATCTACTTCCATCTACTGGTGTTGTTATTGGGAGGAACGGGAATCGTATGGTCACGGTTCTTGGCCTCGAAAATCTCTCAAGTCACAGACGGCATGTTGATCAGGTCGAATTCAATTTTAGAGGTCAGTTTGGCGACAATAAGTCTGTTGCTTCAAACACTAATGACCTTTGAGATTCTCTTACAGATAGTCCTGATGAGCATTAGGCAAACACTGAGAAGATCTGAACGTTTAAGGTTCCAACCTATTAGAGACTATAAACACCCGCACGCTCATTCAACGTGTGGTGGATGTGGTGAACATTGACTCTATTCTATTCATTCTGTTTAGTGTATTTTTATATGCCTTTGTTTTATGATGCGATATATAGTGCGCCCGCGATATACGAGAATATACAATATTCATTCGTCCATAACTTCTATTCTATACTACGCGTACATTCGGTGGTTAAGATACCTACCACTATTCTAATTATCACACAAGGCAACTGCGATCTACCTGGTAAGGGAAGGGGACTTATGATCTAATAACAGCTGAGTTGGAGATGCTAATCCCTGTTTTCTTATCTCCAAATTCTTCAACTTTATCATACTTTCTCTTCTGATATCTTATTTTACAACTTTATCCTGACAGAATTTCCACTCATGTCTCTTGGAGTTTACAAGGCCAGCCGTGACTGACCCATTGACGGAGTGTGGATGTTCCAGTGGACACTGCAGACAAAATAAGATTAGTAGAGTCCAGAGGTTATCAGAAATATTGTACGTCACGTTAATAAGAGCATGGCTCAACAAATTTTGAGGTAATATACCGTTCTATGATGTGGTCAAACAGGTTTCAATAAGTTCAAAAATTCAACTTCGGATAAACGATCAGGATCCACTGCATATATGAGGTTTGAGTAATTCTAGAGGTTTCAAATCAAGGTACCACGCCAGCTTCTATTCACCACGCGCTCCCGAATTGTAAGAAGTCGGTTCGTGCAACTGGCTTGAGAGGGGGAAGTAAGACGCCCCCCTGTAACGCCGACTTCTACCAACCAAAACCCTAGACGGGATGGTTATAACAGTTTCCTTACTAACATCAGACCAGAAGCAGACGGTCGTTCAAGTGCCTGCGCATTATGCTAACAGCCCCACCCAATTTCCAGTTGCCAACGCTTTCTGTCGATGAAAGTCCTTAAGAGATGGAAGTGCATACGGGAGCATAATGCATGCTTTACTGCTTAGGAGACTCCCAAGGATTGCAAGCCAGTAGTTCGATGCATCAAGCCGGTTTGTACGGGACGACATCATAATTTGTTACATACATCACAACCCGGAAGCAAAGTTTCGACGTCCTCAGAGGCGGAGGTTTTGTGTGCCTTAACTCGAGGTAGTCGGCTTCTGGTACGCCTGGGAGTTATTTCTGTCAAGCTTGACAGTCCTGCAGGAAAGGTGACAACGTATACAGTTTTAGATGCTGGGTCCGACATAACGCTAGCAATTGGGACCTTCTGGTGAAAAATGAGGTCAGGCTGCTACCCACGTCTATGACCATTGATACACTGGGTGGTTCCATGGGATACACATCGGAAGCTAATGACATCAGGCTTTCATCAATGGATGAAAACCAGTCGATAGATATTGACAAAGCATTCGTCGTTGACAACTTACCTATGCAAGCTGTCCCATCTATCAAAGAAGCGGCTCGCAAGTGGCCTCACCTTAAGGAAGTTGCCTTCGACGAACTGACTGAAGCCGATATAGGAATCCGTATTGGGTGTGACGTATCTGAAGCGCACTTGTTCTTCGACCAGCGCCTGGGGGGTAAAAAACAGCCGCTTGCTGTGAAAACCTTACTCGGTTGGATACTTCTTGGTCCGATGAAAAACGGGACAAAACAGAAGGTCGTCAGTCATTGTATAAGCAGTCAGGGCATCCATAAGCATTTGCAGCGACTGAACAACTCGGA